TTTCATTTGTTCTTTAACCAGGTTTTACAAAATGCTGCCCATGGTGTTGGCACCTTGTCCTGCTTCTTGCATCTCCTGCTGTGTTTCTGCTCTGAGTGGTTCACACAATAAAGAGGTTGTTGACCAGGCAACCTATCTCTCCATCTACACACTGATGGTGGGAGGGGGAGCCTGCTGTGTGATATGAATCAGATACTGCCATGATTGGAATACAATGACCTGGCAACACAATCTCTCTCTCTCTTCTCTCTCTCTGTGTCCATGTCTCCTTCTCTCTTTTTCAGAACAAGGTTATCAACAGAGATTATCTGGTTAGGACAATGGATGTAGATAGTGAAGACTTTACCTACAATTCATAGCTCAGTTTTCCCTGTATGCCATTTTTACATCATGTTATTACTGTAATGATGGCTATGAAATTAATAGCCAGAGGAAGAGAGCTGCCCTGTGGTATGGACATGATAATGCACAAGTGAGATATTTGCCTTTGTTGACAATTAGTCACTATAATAATTACATAATAATGTCAAGAATCTGCAGAGGACATTAGTATTTTATCTGTAAATCTTACATAATATCACTATAGAGGCAAGAGAAATGATAATATAGTAATGCACCTGCAAAAGTAGGTCATACGATGTTTTATTCTAATGAATTATTTGTCAAGACCCTATATGCTATTATATAGTGTATGTATAATATGTCTAATAAAAATTGAAGACCTTTTTTTCTCTGTAATTTCATCACTGAAGGGGCAGCTGTGGCTCTGGTGGTAGAGCGGGTCCTTTTCCATTTGGAAGGTCGGTGGATTGATCCCTGAGCCCCCCAGCCCACATGCCTTCTTGCACAAGTGCGTATGCAACTGTGAGAAAGCGTTTAGGCATAGATAAAAACACTGTGTGATTTGCGGTAGAAAGTGCTTTGAGTGCTCAATTGAGTAGAAAGGCACTATATAAGAACCAATCCACATCCCATACTTTATGTTGAGCTCTGGACAAGTCAAATTTTGAATGAACTGCCTCAGAATGCTGTGAATACTCACACTTTAAAGTGCTGAGTGTCACCGAATAAGGACCAGTCTAATAAGTCTATTTAGGTTACGCAGTGTTTTAACTTAGATCTCGCTTTTGTGACTGTCACCACCTATAACAGCATGTAAATTTGCTAATACCTGGGAACATTACATTTAGGCTCGCACAGATCCCACCGGGGTGAGAGACAGCCTGGTTCACCTGTGCCCGACGGATACAGCCACTTAAAACGGCTGGCTGGTCTTTGACAGGCCCATGGCCGATCTTCGGCCTTTCCCCAGCCAGTGCTGAACCTTTCCGTAAACCATTGATACAGATATTTGTCTGAAGCAAATATTAACTCGAGTTTGTTCAGACTGAACGAGCAAGCCACAAGGCCGAAAGTGACACATACAGGCTGCGGTTATTGCTGACTACTGCTGCTGAATATAAAAAAAAGAAAAAGATTCTTTAATGGCACTGAAAATGTTTTTATACGAAAAACAAAACCTAAATTCAAATGCCCCTTGATTATTACTATAAGCTCAAATACATTTTGTAAAAACAGTATTTTGCACAATCGGAACAAATCTCTGAGGAATACTTACCAAATCATGTTTGGTAAGTATTCAAATCATATTCATAAATCTGTAACTTGAGCTCAGTTAGGGAAATCGTTTGATTCTGAGTCTTGCACAGGACGCAGTAATTCGTGTGTTGGATCGGTCAGTATGAGGTTATTAAAAGTTTGTCCACATCACATGCATCATCATCTGAATATAAAACCTTAATGAAGCCTGTTGAGGCTGCAGTAGCCGAGGACGATAACGGGCTCTTACTTTTCTGAGCCGTGGCAGAGTCAATCACTTTACAGACTTTACGGCTTGACTATCCACCATGAATCTTTAGCAATTAGTAGGGGCACTGAAGGGGAAGGCGTGGTGTGTTGGAGGTACGCTATTATATCTCAGAGTGCCAGGTGAATGCACTCGGAAGACTGTAATGTCGCTCAGCGTGTTCAGGAAATGGAACATTTTGGAAAAAGAATCTCTTTGATCAGTTAAATGTTGTGTGACGAGAACAGTGGCTGGCAGGTTCACCTGAGAGTGTTAAATCTGGCTTGTAGCAGTCAGTAAACACAAGCTGTTTGTGTGAGCACTCTGCCGGACCAAATGAATACTGGAGACAAGGAGCTGAAACTGTAATCATGCTCATACCAGAGCTGCAACATGATAATGATATCTATAAAGCTTTACGAGGTCACTTCTGGTAAGTCACTGGTTCCAAACCTGGATGTTGGGACCCCCCGAGGGGTCATGAGATCAGTATGAAATGTTGCTAGATGTTTGAAATGGAACTTTTTTATCATCTTGGCTCCCTGCAGCTGGTGACCTGGCCAGGTTGTACTCTTGCAGGAGATGCAAGGTGCAAGACAATTTTTTGCAAATATTTTTGCAAAGTACTTTCTGACAGTCAATACATAAGTAATACAATCTTTAGCAAGTCTCTCATTCTGCAGATGACCTCGCACTCCACCATTACAAACTGCAGCTCTCGATATTAATCCTTGTTCTCTGTAGCTTTGATTAAAAACCACTAAATAACTACTACAGTACAAACTCAGATAAGAACTTCTTAGACACCAGTTGTAGTCTAAGAAGTTGGAAGGTTGGATGGAGTAGGTTGGACCATAGGGAAGAAGTACTTCACAGCAAGTGAACTTTCAAAATAAAAGTGCTTGAGGTTTCTTCCTTTTAAAAGGGAGTTTTTCCTTCCCACTGTTGCCAAGTGTTTGGTCAAAGGGGAATCAACTGATTAATGGGATTTTCTCTTTGTTTTTATAGGGTCTTTACCTTACAATTAAAAGTTCCTTGAGGCAACTGTTGTTGTGACCAGGTGCTGTATAACTAAAACTGAATTGACCTCAATAGTCACTGCAGCTGGCCATTAAAAAATTCCCCCCAAAAGGCTGCTTAAACCTCAGTTTTTTACAAGGTTAATTTAAGGGTTTTCAGTGCACAGGTGAGGCAGATCATGTTAGATTTGCATAATCCAGCTAGCAGTTTCCCCCCTTTTCCAGTCTTTCAACTATTTGAAGTTTACTAATTACTAGTTGTGGCTTGTGGTTACGGTTAGAAAACTGTTATTATTAGAATGGACTTGTGTATTGGTGGACTGGGCCCACTGAGAGGTAACAGGTCATCAGAAAATTCACTTCTTTTCCAAACCAAAAATGGTTTCCAAACAAAGTTTGTTTCCCTTTAAAGTACTTCCCACAGACATGTGCTACTCTACATTTTTACTGTCATAACTCCAACAATTAATCTTGTAATTTAGCATAATCTTAAAGGTAAATGCAGCTGCAGACAACACGTTGTTCTGTTTGGTGCAGCTGAAAACACACTCTATAGTGTATCATAAAAATGCTCATTTAAAAATCTAAATTTCACAAATAATTATTTTTATTTTTCAACGGGTAATGACGTCAGACCTGCAAACAAAAACTGGATGATGTAAGTGTATTTTTGTCATGTATTTTTTGCCACACCCTTTGCAGTCCCTATTTAGAAAAAAGTAACATTATTGCTGTTCTCAAATCATCCAAATGTAACTCAAAGATGACATAGTAACTCCTCTGGTTTACAGTCATTTACATGCTAACATTAACAAAACATTGGCTAAATAACTTCACTTGGTACAAGTGCCAAAAGTGTCAGCCTTTCCATTCGTTCGGTGTCATGATGAATAGTTCACCGACAGGAAACATAACTGTTACTAACTAATGGTGATTTTTTTCCTCTGCACCTTCTCAATATCTCACTTCCTCATCATGAACCAATGACTGCCAAAATGATATAAGCCTGCTGACAACAAGTTACATTTCCCTGTCCTACATTATCTGCTCTGCCGGTTAACCCCCTAATGTCCATCACATTAAACTTCTTATATTGAGGCTAGCCAGCTTCTCAGTTTCAAGGGGGATCAGTGAGTGAAAGCCCTATAGTCCATAAGAGAAAACACAGGAATTAGCCCTAGATTAGGGATCTAAACGGCTATGCAGCCCATGGTGGCTGGAGATGTACTGGTAGGCTGTGTGGGGGCTAATTTAGCAGCCGGCAGTGGGAAACCCCACTTTCTGCCAGGTCATAGAGCAGAAATCCACAGACAACTGACAGGAGCAAACATTATGATGTTAGCTGGTGAAAAACATAGATTTTTTTTTTTTTTGGGGGGGGGGGGGGCGACAACGTGATGAATGACATTAATTACTCCACAGTTGAGAGCTGGAGAAACAGCCTGGGGCTGATCGAGAAAACACACTGTGGCGGTGGTGGTGCTTTTAGTGCTCAACATGGAGCACGCAGGCAGCAAGGTGCTCTTCATCCGTCCTCATGCCTCAGTGATGGCTGAGGGAAACTACAATACGGAGCGTCCACACGCATCGCTCTGCAAAGACAACACAAAGACGGTGCAGCCGGTGCAGCCGGCGCACGATGTGCCGCTGACACCGGTGATAATCACGAGAACATCGCTCATATTTAGGTCAGCCTGAAAGTAGCCTAATACCATTTTCACATCAGCCAGCCCCCTCCCTCCTCCGACCCCCACACTCCCCGGCCTGATGGATGGACGGCGAGTGATGCTGAAATATGGGGGTTCCATTTTCACTCCACGATCAATGCAAGCGCACCACAGCCCTTTATCACATCATGCCAAAAGCAAAACAGACACACACGCGCGCGCGCGATCCACACCACGCCTCGGAATAAACTGACACAAAAAAGAAAAAAAAACCCACCAAACATCTGGCACACACTTCGACACACACACACACACACACACACACACACACACAATAAAACATGCAGCCATATTCCCAGCACGCTGCCATGCTCTGGCAACAAACAAAAAAAATTCTAGGCATTTGCACAAATGGGAGGTGTGAGACGAGCGGAAAGAGGACTCTGGAATGACATTGCGCCTGCTTACTGTAAAATAAATTCCCTCGGGGAGGATGGAGAGCCTCCTTTTTTCCCTCTTGACTCCCCTCCTTTCCGACGTGCGAATTTCCCGAAATTCAGACCATGCAAAACAGGTAGTCAGTCATTCCACCCCTCCGAAGTATTTGGTCCTGCGCGGCGGTAGTGCGAAAGGAGAAGGCACAACTAGCATCCGAGAGAGGAGACAGCCAGCTGTGGGGAGGAAATGAGGAAGGAAGGAAGGAGCGGCCGGGCCGGAGCACTGCGCACAGGAGAGAAGGCAAGGAGAGCGGCAGAGGTGCTCTCTCTCTCTCTCGCTCTCTCTCTCTCAGTTCACAATACAACATCACCCTATCCTTGCTAGACAGACGGACAGACGGCTTGAGTACCAGAGTCCGCAGCGACACCTAATGGTGATGAGAGGAACTACAACATGGAGATGATAAGTTCCACGGAAAGGCAGCAGCAGCTGGAAGAGACAAGCATGTCTCACTTATGTTACTGCAGGTACTTTTATCTTTTAACAGTATATTTCACTAGAAAAGGTCACATTTTATTCTGTTAAATAGGCCGAAGACACTTATTACACATTTGTGTCTTGATTTAAAGAGTTGGCTATTTTGGGGGTAGAAGACAGCCCTAGAGACTGCCATGTATTTCACACTGGTTTTTATTTTTCTATGCATTTCCATAAATGTCTTTAAACAATCTTCCCACTGGCACCCTGAAGCCTGAAAGGTATTAGTCCCAACAAGCTGCAACTGTAGAAAAGTTTAACTGTTTTCATTAAAGTAAACAAAACATATTTTCCATAACTTAAGAACTTCCAGTGGAAAACAACAAGGTCAATGCTGCCTTGGTTATAGAAAAATTGGAAAGATGATTAAATTATAGATGGTAAAGCTGCAGCACAACAAAGTAAGGGTTTATAAAGTATATTTTGGTTTCCTAATCTGTAAAATTGTACATTCATATTGTTCAGTTGTTTACACAGATGCCATTGTAGGAACAACAAGGAAGCCTGCAGTGCGAGAGCACTAATGGAGTCATTAAGATAAGATGGGGCCTGATTATTTAAGACCTTGTATGTGAGGAGGAGGATTTTGAATTCAATTCTGGATTTAACAGGAAGCCAATGAAGGGAAGCCAAAACAGGAGAAATCTGCTCTCTCTTTCTAGTCCCTGTCAGGACTCCTGCTGCAGAATTTTGGATTAACTGAAGGCTTTTCAGTGAGTTTTTAGGACATCCTGATAATAATGAATTACAGTAGTCCAGCCTGGAAGTAATAAATGCATGAACTAGTTTTTCAGCGTCACTCTGAGACAGGATATTTCTAATTTTAGAGATGTTGCACAAAGAAGAAAGCTGTCTTACATATTTATTTAATATGTGCATTGAAGGACACGTCTTGGTCAAAAATCACACCAAGGTTCCTGACAGTGTTACTGGAGGCCAAGGTAATGCCATCCAGAGTAAGAATCTGGTTAGATACTATATTTCTAAGATTTTCAGGGCCGAGTACAATAACCTCAGTTTTATCTGAATTAAGAAGCAGAAAGTTAGCGGCCATCCAGGTCTTTATGTCTTTAAGACATTCCTGCAGTTTAACTAATTGGTGTGTGTTATCTGGCTTCATGGAAAGAAGCCAGATAACACACACCAATTAGATGGGTGTCATCTGCATAGCAGTGAAAATGTATGCTATGCCTTCTGATGATACTGCCTAGGGGAAGCATGTATAATGTAAACAGAATTGGTCCTAGCACTGAACCCTGTGGAACACCATAGTTGACCTTAGTGTGTGAAGAGGACTCTCCATTTACATGAACAAATTGGAGTCTATTAGATAGATATGATACAAACCACTGCAGCACAGTACCTGTAATACCTACAGCGTGCTCTAATCGATGTAATAGGATATTATGGTCAACAGTATAGAACGCTGCCCTGAGGTTCAGCAGGACAAGCACAGAGATGAGTCCACTGTCAGAGGCCACAAGAAGATCATTTGTAACCTTCACTAAAGCTGTTTCTGTGCTGGGATGAGCTCTGAAACATGACTGAAACTCTTCAAATCATTTTTTTGATATGAAAGGAAGGTTGGAGATTGACCCGTAATTAGCTAAAACCGCTGGGTCAAGAGATGGCTTTTTAAGTAATGGCTAACTACAGCCAGCTTGCAGACCTGTGGTACATGGCTGATTATGTGGGTCCATTTAAGGGAAAATAAACTGGCTTTCTGACTGTATTAAAACCACTTGCCCCACATTGTGTAGGTCACAGACCTAATAAATAAATTCATTAATTAACAAACAATACATTTTTAAAAATACTTCAAAGTTACAGAGAGAGACTAAAATGGATTATTTCCATTGTTTTCCATGTTTTCCATGGTTTGGTCCTTTGACCTAATCATTAACAACAAAGTCTTTTGTGAAAGCATAATAAACCAATATGGCTCCCATGGATTCTGCATGACTGCATAATTTCTAGAATAAACCTTTGCCCACAGTGCTCTTAAAATATATTCTCCTGTATTAGATTTTATACAGTAAGCGTATGTCTCAAATGTAAACTGAGGTGTGCTAATAAGCCAGCTTTAAAATGCCAATAGTTAATACTGAAGGGATCGTTCACTCACAATATTGGAAAACAAGAAGAGAACATCTCTAAAAGGCAAGTGAATTGCAGAGAGCTGTCTCATATCAATAAGCTCCTCATTTGCTGGTGCAGCTGTTTTGCACGGCTACGTTTTCCTGGGGAGAAGTCTAATTAGCCAAACTTCATATACCTGTGTGAGCTGGAGTGTAAAAACAGAGCGCTATCAAAAACAGCTTTCAGTCAGAGTCAGGAAACATTTTTAATAAGCTGTTTGTTTAAACTGTCTCGACCTGGCTCAGAAACCGTGGCGAAAAAGAGTGAGATGGCCTGGCCTGCATGGCCTGCATTTGTATAGCGCTTTTCTAGTCCATAGGACCCCAAAGCGCTTTACACTACATTCAGTCATCCACCCATTCACACACACTGGCGATAGCAAGCTACATTGTAGCCACAGCTGCCCTGGGGCGCACTGACAGAGGCGAGGCTGCCGGACACAGGCGCCACCGGGCCCTCTGACCACCACCAGAGATGCAGGGAAAAGGTTAAAAAAAATACTTGAAATACTTCAAAAACATGAAAGCAACATAAAACAAAGAAAAAGTCAGTGTTATTAGTAGTGAGGATGTGTGAGTGGATGGGTTAATAGTGTGGTGTTGGAGATGCTAAGTGGTACAAACTAAAAAAAGATGCACGTGAGACAAGAGCTTCACTTGAAAACTGCTTATTCTAATATTGACTCTTGTTTGGTGTGGTTTGTTGGATTGGATGATTGAAATGAAATGGCAATTTTACTATTAATTCATTAACAAACAGAGGGCACAGTGGTATGTTGAAAAACCACACAGGGCCACAAAAGCCTGGCACCTGCTCCTCACTGGTCACCAGCGTTTGTTGCACACTGCTGTGGGATGACATCCCAGTCTTCAATCAGTATTTGTCGACAATGTCATGACAAGTCAGCCAATGTGGATGTGTTGGTCACTCTTGCATGAACATCACGCCCAAACTGATTCCACAAGTGTTCAGTGAGGTTGAGGTCTGTGCTAAGTTTACATGGCTAGCATCTACATGGCCTTTGGAATGAAAATGTGTGGCAGCCTGGGCCGGTTCTAGACAGGCAGAGAGAAATGTAAATATTAACAAAACTTAAAAAAGTAGGCCATGTTACAAAGAAAAAGGCAATAAACCAAGTCTTGAAAAATAAAACTGAAAAATAGAAATACAGAATAAAAAAAAAATCTCCATCCGGATCTTTACAACCAAAAACATAAAATCTATCTTAATTAAATGGCCTAATTCTCAAATAAATTTGCAAAATAAAGTATGAATAAAGACATTCATTTCATGGAAGCTCAAATTAACAGAGTCACATTAAATGCACATCATTGCCTGTTACACTGCACCTTAAAGATAGGTTAATAAATTGAATTTAACTTAACCACAATACTTTCAAATGGGTTCTTTCCAGCTTGAAGGCGGTGGCAAGATGAGTCAAAACCCGCGGTCAACCCGCTTCGTTTAATTGTTGTCAAATGCCACCATATAAATGAAATTCACTTGACCTGAATGATCTGTATGGGTGCATATGTTAGAAAAAGGCAGCACAATAATAATATTACAGCAGTAATTAGTGCTATATGACAAACTAATAAACTACTAGAATTGTATCTACCAAAAGTGTCGCAAAGACTTCTTGGTTAGGTTAAACTGCACTATAAACAATGTTATTTGCCACATAATTCCATGATTCCAAAAGGCACCAACACTACAAACATGGCTGAGCGGTTCAGTTCAGTGACTCTGATTCATAAACGGGCAGCCTAAAAGACAATGACCAGCTACAACTGCTGGTGCTGACACACTTGTCAGCCTTATGATGTGCTGGTATACCCCATATGTGTTTTTTTATGAAAAGGAGAAATATCCATAGAAATCAAAATGGCTTTTTGTGTCAGCTGTAAAGTTTTTGTGTGTGTTTATGGGGATTGACAAACTTTTGAAGCCACTGTCAGTGGCTAAAGAGAGCTTAGTTTTGCTGTAGTTTTTCAGTTTCAGAGGTTGTAGCTTGGACTGAAGCAACCAAAGAGGCAGAGGAAACTGTTTCTTTTAGTGGTTCATACAAGGCACTGCTCTACAGCCTGAACTTTGGCCTTGACAGGACATGCTTGGCCCGTCCGTCTTGTTCGCTCACACACTCATAGTTTTCAAGCTTGAACCACCAAATCAGTGAACAGCTACAGGTTTAAGGTGAGCATCCCAACTGAAGAGCCTTGCATGTCACCAGTGACCTGTTCAGTGAGACAACGAAACGTAGCAGGTGCCTTCCTCAGCCTGTAAGCTACTGGTCAGATAAGGGTGGAAAGCAGAATGGTAAAAACTCTGTGCAAACACTGACAGACCAGGGTTCAAATTCTTGCTGGAGCAGAGAGGTTTCACCTTCAACTCAGAAATCAATCAACAGCCCAGGCAGCGATGGCACTACATCCCGCTCGGTTTCGCTCACCATGAAGCAAAAACTCACATCATAAAAGGCCTCACTGATGCCTCCTTAACATATTTCACCCCACTCTGCATCCCAGCCAGCAGAGACCAACCCCAGCCGCTTTGTTAAATTATCTGTAAAGACTATAATACATGCACAGAGACACATGCCAAATCAGGACAAAGCCTTTCCTAGAGGGAGTTTGAACACAAAAGGAGACTGGAAAAAGTTTGTAACCCAGTTGAATTGAGTGCTGTATAT